CCCCCAAAAAACAAACATAATTGACTTAGCTTTCAATGTGAAATTATCTTATCTCTTTATCTTCTTCTTTTCTTCTTCTTCCAATTTTTCAAATCTACACAAAATAGGAACAGCAACTCCACTGGAATTTTGATTTCGCGGATTTGACTCATTTTGAAGTTGAATGAGCTATTTTCTAGAAAAATAAAATAAAATTTGTTGGCAAAAGAATAAAATTGAATCGAACCCGATAATTTTTTTTTACGGCCATGGTCATTAATTTTGTATTAATTTCCAATAAATATTCTAATTTTTTTTAAAAATTTACCATATCTTTTCATCATTATCCCTTCATTACAATTTTATAGAAATATAAGAATCGATCTTATATCACAACCCAACCAATAAAAAGTATTGAATTTATATTATCAATAATTTAAAATGTATTGTAATATACATTTTTACTTTTTTCAAAAATTAAAAAAGAAGCAAATTTTAATTTTGAGAATAATTGTTTTAAGTTGAAATATGCTGTCAAGCAATATCTAATAAAATAATATCTAAAATAAAACCTAAGTTATATCTCAATATCACAAAATTAAATTTAGTCGATATGTTAAATTTTTATACGTTCATAGATTCAAAATAGATATGAGGTATAAATCGAAATTTTCATAATGGGCCAAAAAAATCAATTATATATCAAAAAGAAAATCAACAAAACATTTGAACATAATATTTATATGATTTTTTTTTTTTGAAACATGATGACAGTAAAACAAAACTAAGAGATTGGCTAAACTAGAAGAAATTTCTCCGGAATCCTCCGCAGATATTTATATTAATAATTTATAACTTATTTAAATTTAAACATTTACTATCTTTATTTGTTAATTTAAATATTTATTATAAATTTCCATCATTTTATAGATATTATTGTGTCATTTCAATAAAATTAAAACACATACCATACCATCATTTAAAACCTTGTTTACTCTATTATCTTTACTTTTAGGAAAAAGATAAATATTTATTTTTCTCCTCACTCTTTTATCTTTGGTAAGAAAATAAATAGAAACTAAGATTGGAAAAGAAGAATAAACCTTTTTATTTATACAAGATAGGACATAGGTGTGTACAGTACATATTAAGAGAAAATAAAATTAAAATTAAAAAAAAAAAGGGCTACCGCAGTGAATTATTGTTCTTCTTGTGGATCATGGTGCTGCTGTTGCAGATCCGCCAGAGAAAAGCTTCTCGACTTAAAGCTCATCAATCTTCTGTGATGAAAATCTGAAACTCTTTTTCCTTTTGATTTTTCATCTTCATCTTCATTATCTTCTGAGGAATATGGAGCATGCGATTCTTCCTCTTCTTCGTCGTCGTCGTCTTCTTCTCTTAGGGCTAACAGAGGCATCGACTTAGGGTTTGGCCAGGCGTAGAAGGAAGATCTCCTCGCCAATTTCGACGCAATCAAAACTCTCCTCCTCTTATTGAATGGATTTTCCGGTTTCTCAATCTCTTTTACTGATTTTGCCTCTGCTAGATTCGCAAACGACTTCGATTTTCCGGAAAAGTGATTCGATAAGCCTCTCCTGATTAAAATGCAACGAGATTCAAATTGAGACGACAGATTGAAGAGGATATTGATTAATTTATCTCATGTTTTGATCGGAGTAATTGTCTCTTTCAATTGATCGATAAAATAACAGAGGAAGAGAGAAAAGATTGAACTCACTTTATCGGAAGAGACTCTTCCAACGATCCGAGAGAGCAGATTCCTGCGTTTAATTTGCTTTGAACCTCCTCGCCATCTCCGCCAGCCGTGGACGAAACGCTTTCATCGTCGCTAACATCATCGGGAACTCCGATCGACGATGAGGAATCAGAACGGTAATCGACATCCTCCCGACCTTTTCCGGAGCCGAAATCCGATTTG